CATCTAAAAGTAGATCTTCAGGCACCCAGTCGCCAATCCCAGCAAAACTGATAAGCCTTTGGCACGCCACCAAGACACTTGGACCATCTATGAAATAACACTGTACAACAGAAAACATACTTCGACACCCCAGGTTTACAATAAGGTATTCATAAAGCCTACGCAGTGACGAACCAAGACTGCCGATACAAACATGTGTTTTTTGCACGGTTTCCCCTACAGATGTCTAGTACTGTTTTTCTAGCAGGTATGCCTGGCTAAACGAATTGACGATATCCAACCACGTTTATGAGAAATTATTACAAGGATTCCCAATAAACACGATCGTGAGCCGTGCTCAGAAAATTTCAGCACTGTAGCTGTTTTGGTTGAGAATTTATGCTAGATCTTAAATTTGAATGTGAGGAAGAAAAGTGAATGTTATTTTCATGTGTAGCTGCACAAAAACGCCCGTAGATAATGCTCAGAACATTTCAGCACTCTAGCTATTTTAGCCCCGAAGTTATAAAATTGTCTGCACCAAATTATGTGAAATTTGGATGGACACGGAAGATCTGCTTACTTTCAGGAACAAATAAATGACCAGCAAATAGCACCGCAAAACTACAGGTCTTACTAGCTTTCTAAACAATAATTCTCGTGTCGCATGGCACCAAAGGAATCGAAACCTCTAAGTACATGTATGAGACTTAGCACGCAGGCTGATTTTAAATTCTTCAGGTCACGCGTAAACAGGGAACAACTTGGCAAAATCTCAGCTTTATAGCTTTCGAAGATGTCGAAAACGAAATTTGCATATATGGAGAAAATAATAAACATACTGAAGCACACACATAGACAACCCTTGACAATATGTATTTTTATGCGCTTCTGAACTTCATGCAAATGCAGAAATTGACTCTGCATACATATATGTATATAAAAGATTTCCCAAATGGACCATATTTTAGCAGAATGGACGATATTTTAGCAGCTATAGTTTTCCAGCCAGTCTTAGAGTTTGCACGCGCCAAATTGCGAATTTTAACTGAGCGTGCGCATGACGTAAGCGCACGCAGTACTTGAATTTGAAATCTCTAGCTTATACTTGGGCACAGGATACCCTTTATTCGGAACAAAGCGAGTGAACTTTGTCACCCACTTTCAACACAGCAACGGGAAAAGCTGGAGGACTGAAATTTAGGGAGCATATTTCTCACTTCCATGTGCCATTCTCCCATTTTAAAATCATCTCTTACGCACGCGCAAACCTCACGCACAGACTTCCTAAAGAAATATGCAAATTGTCTTATGGGAAAACGATTTCAAAAACCGGTAAAATTAAGAAATGTAACTCTGTAAGGGTATTCTGTGCCCATGTATAAGTTAAAGATTTCAAATCCAAGTACTGCGTACGTTTACGTCACGCGCACGCTCACGTTAAAATTCGCAAGCTGGCACGTGCAAACTCGAAGACTGGCCGAAAAACCACAGCTGTAATTCTGCTAAAATATCGTCCATTTGGGAAATCTTACATCTAAATCAAGATTCGACTTGCACCTGCGCCACACCCTCTGCTACT